CGGCGTTCCGTATCTTAACCAGAGCTACCGTTCGGTATATAGCGGTTCGTCTATGGTGACAGTCTGGTTCCTGAAAATGCGGTTTATGTGCGGAACGCTTCGGTTCAGCTTAGGTTTACCTTGGATGCTAGATAGTAGAATATTATCCTCTTAAAAATATATTTGTAATAAGAAATCAACATGAATGCATGTAATATTCAACTCTTGTTCCATTTTCACCGCAAATGCACTTCGAAAGCGGAAGAAACATAAAAAAGTTGAAAAATTATCACCTAACCTAACAAACAAAATGTCAGAAATTGAAAACAAACCGAAACAACCAAAGCTTTTTGATCGGTAGATTCGGTGACAGTTGGGACCGAATTTTTCAGGAACCGCGTTTCATAACCTAACCAGATTTCAGGAGTGGTTGGGTTATGGAACGGGAACCGGAAAAACCAAGAATCTTGGTTAACTTACGGAACGTCGCCTTAGATTCTACAGCCTGTCAAAGTTGCAAAAAAGTCAATTTTCAACTGTCAATATTTCCGAAACAGTTGAAGATAGGTATAGGACATGATGTCAGCGTTGGACTTATATTATTAATTTTCACCGTTTGTTATTAGTTTTCATTAAAAAAAATGTATTAAAAATTTAAAGTAATGTAAAATGTAATGTAAGGAATGTAAAATCGGTTTTCCTCTAAAATTAATTTAGGTTTTACAGTCTGTTAAAGATGCAAAAAAGTCAATTTTGAACTGTCAATACTTCCGAAACAGCTGAAGATAAGTATATGACATTGTTCATGAAATATGCTAGAATTTTCCGCAGAATACAGAAGTGTCATAATATACAGGGCTAGTCATTTAAAAAAAAACATAGCCTTGTGTCACCACTACTTATTGGGCCACCCTGTATACTGGAAAATAATTTAGGAATGTAGCACTCATGTTTATCTACAAGTTTTGTATTTACTTTTTTCTTCGATCTCTGTTAGTATAAGAGATAGGGACCACCGCGCTCTTAGTAACTCGCCCTGTATAAAACATATAGGTGTGTGGGTATGTGTGTATGCATATATACTATAAATTATAGATGAAGAAATTCTTGATCGGCTTGTTTAATAAGTGAGATGATTCTTGGGATTCAGTCTTGGCAAAAATATAACTAGTTTTTCACAAACGCCGAGCTTTCGGAAATTTTATTGTTTCCTTTTTCAAGGGTGCAAAGTTAGTTAAATTATTTTAGAATTAGCCATTGTTGGAAAAATTATTGGTTTGTTCTTTTCTTTTAACTGTTGCTCTAATCTTGGAATTTTGCGTCTGATAATTTTGAAAAGTGACGAAGTGAAAAATTACAAAAATTAGCTACTTTTTTTTAAATTTTATCAAAACGCCCCATTATTTTTGTCCGACAATTGATCCGACATGCGTTACACATGTAAAGAAACAGTAAAAAATAAAAATTGCATCTGTGGTTGTAAATAAAATTGTTGCAGGAAATTGACATCTTTGGCGCATCCGACTGCGCATATGCCCCATGAAAATTGTCCGACAAGGTTACCACGTTATTGTAATAGTTATTTTCCTAACAAGTGTTACTTTTCCGCACGCAAACATAGTTATACGAACGACGCGAAGCGGAGTTCGGATACGTGTTTGCGTGCGGAAAAGACACTTTGCGCACGTGTTAGGAACAACATTTTTCCTACGAGCTTCATATCAGGTAGGTAATAACAAAAATTTTTGAAAAAAAAACGATAATTTGTTTAATTATTTTTAATTAACTTGAAGGGAACCTATGCATTTATCAAAAAATTACATAACAAAAAAAAATAACAGAAAATCCTCGTCAGAGCTGTTCATCTTAAAGCGTTTAAATTTGATGAGAAAGTTTGTAGATTTTTGCATATAAATAGAGAACAAATCTGATGCGTCAAAGTTTATTTATAATTGGTGTTTGTATAGATGTTGGCTGATATAGAAATAGAGGAAAAATTTGGCATCATGTGTCAAAGTCGACAGGTGCACTTATTGTTGCTTGACAATTATAATTACTTTTCGGCACTCAGTGCGGATAAGGCCTGTATCCGCACTGAGTGCGGAAAAGTGTAACTTTGAGCCCGGGAATGCGTGCGGAAAAGTACTACTTTGCGCACGCTCGTAGGAAAAATAACAGAAAATCCTCGTCAGAGCTGTTCATCTTAAAGCGTTTAAATTTGATGAGAAAGTTTGTAGATTTTTGCATATAAATAGAGAACAAATCTGATGCGTCAAAGTTTATTTATAATTGGTGTTTGTATATATGTTGGCTGATATAGAAATAGAGGAAAAATTTGGCATCATGTGTAGGAAAAATATTTTTTCCTACGAGCGTGCGCAAAGTAGTACTTTTCCGCACGCATTTCCGGGCTCAAAGTTACACTTTTCCGCACTCAGTGCGGATACAGGCCTTATCCGCACTGAGTGCCGAAAAGTAATTATAATTGTCAAGCAACAATAAGTGCACCTGTCGACTTTGACACATGATGACAAATTTTTCCTCTATTTCTATATCAGCCAACATCTATACAAACACCAATTATAAATTAACTTTGACCCATCAGATTTGTTCTCTATTTATATGCAAAAATCTATAAACTTTCTCATCAAATTTAAACGCTTTAAGATGAACAGCTCTGACGAGGACTTTCTGTTATTTGTTTCTGTTATGTAATTTTTTGATAAATGCATAGGTTCCTTTCAAGTTAATTAAAAATAATTAAACAAATTATCGTTTTTTTTTTTTAATTTTTGTTATTACCTACCTGATATGAAGCTCGTAGGAAAAATGTTGTTCCTAACACGTGCGCAAAGTGTCTTTTCCGCACGCAAACACGTATCCGAACTCCGCTTCGCGTCGTTCGTATAACTGTGTTTGCGTGCGGAAAAGTAACACTTTGCGCACTTGTTAGGAAAATAACTATTATGGCAGATTCTGATCAAATCAGCCGTGTGGTAATAAAAAAAAATTCCCATAAATTTGACATATTCAACGTGTCCGACGCGTCGAATGCCCCAATATTTTTGTCCGACACATTTTTTTTCGTTGTTTATGTGATAAAAACTATTGATTAAAATAAAATTACCAATGTGGTCATAAATTTTTTTCTTGCATAAAATCGACAACTTCGTGACAGCTTGACAGACAAACGCCCCACTACCATAATGCGCTGAGCTCAAAATTTGTCCGACTCCACCTAAATAACAAATACAAAAAGTTTCGACGGTGTGGTCATAAATAAAAAATTTAGATCTGGGCCCAAGGACTATTAGGGCCAAATTATGGACCAACTGGTAAAAAGTGTCTGATTTGCACTAGAGAATAGAAAGTACCTGCTAGGTAATAACCAGACGTTTACCAGTCAGTCCTGACTGACTGGTAAACGTCTGGTTGTTACCTAGCAGGTAGTTTCTATGCTCTAGAGAATAGAAAGTACCTGCTAGGTAACAACCAGACACTTAAGGTTCGTTTCACCAGGGTTCATACTTGACCTTGAAACTTGAAAATAAAGGGTTGTCGTAGATTATTTCATATGACACATTCAATTTTTTTGACAAATTAAAATGAATGCCTTCTGGTTTAAGAACCGACGAACGTTTTTGACGTAATTGATTTGTTTCAATCAATTTCTATTTGTTAAACAAGGAAGGCAAATGCTGGTGGCAAGTACAAACCCTGATGAAACAAACTTTACCAGTTGGTCCATAATTTGGCCCTTAAGGGTACATGAATATTTTTACTGGTAATTTGTCAAAATTGAATGTTGTCAGCACTAGTGCGCAAAATTAACTCTTGTCCGCACTTAGGGTTTCCATAAAGGTTTTTCGGAATTCAGGACAAAGGAGTCAAGAAATCCGGACAAAATCCGGACTTCGCCGAAATAGCTATTGAGAGTGTGTAAAGTGAAAGGCGAGTGCGACAAAATTCACATTCGTGAAAAAAGGTTCACTTTACACACATATTGCATAATACCAATACCTATACAAAAAAATTTCTACTATAAATAAAATATATGTAAAACAATAAATTTAGACAAATACTTTACGCACTAGTGCGTAAAGTGAAGTAATTTACTAGAAAAAAATTACATTGTCGACATCTGTCATTGACATTATTTCACGCGCTAGTAGGCAATTTTTCGCGAGGATAATCAAGCATAATCTGATTATGCTGTGCTGGGTTATGTGATGTGTCAACAGTGTCATTCTCTCCCAAGAATATTCTCTCCTAACTCCCTCAGCATTCAATTCTGGGTCTGCGAATGACGTCACTACCAGCAGCTTATAGTGATGACGTCACCCGAAGACCACGATGGAATGCTTGCGATTCAGGCTGTGCTAGTGAGTTAATTTTTTTGTCGGTTTTAAATGTAGAAAAGGTGATTTTCGGTCTGTTATCACAGAAGAAGTTAAGTGTTCTTGATCCTCGAGTATCCCAGAATCGGATAGTGGGTGAGTTAGGAGAGTATGACACAATTGACACATCACATAATCCAGCATACTCGAGTATGCTTGGTTATCCTCGCGAAAAATTGCCTAGTATGTAAAGTGGCTTACTTTACGTACTAATGCGTGAAGTAAAATTTTACGTCTTTTGGATAGTCCGTGTAAACTGAGTATGAGTGTTTTCACGATCTCCGAGTTTTCCGGACGTTGTTCCGAATTCCGGCCAGACTTCCACGGACACCCTAAAAACCCAAACATGTCCGGGTAAATCCGGACGTATGGAAACCCTATCCGCACTAGTGCGCAAAAGTGAATTTTGGGCTTCCAACTGCATGTGCAAAGTACCTATTTTGCGCACGCCTATAGAAAAACAATTACTACGTTTTCATGGTGTTTTGAAATCGTTTTGAATACGGTTTTGGTTTATTGCTAAACGGATCAACTATCACATCTCGAAATTAAATTATCGATAAACTCTGTATGCTCAGATTTTTGACAGTTTTTGTCAATTTTCTTACAAAGTTTTTTTTTTAGAAATGTTTGGGAAGAAACAATATTAAAATACATTCCATCAATTTCCATAATGGAAATTCAATATATGATTACAAGCAAAGATTACATAGGAAACAGTTCAGTGTTAATTGTCAGCCATGATCATATGTCGCGTTGTTGTGACAAACTCCTAGAAAGAGGCTTTGGTAGTGTAATCATAGACGAATCTCACAATTTAAAGAACCATAAAGCGAAAGTAACTCAGGCCGCAATTAAATTATGCAAGAGAGCTAAAAGGGTAGTACTTCTTAGTGGAACGCCAGCCCTATCAAGACCTAACGAACTTTATTCCCAACTTGCATTAATTAACGAGAAGTTTTTTGGTAGTTTTTTTCAATATGCAAAGCGCTACTGTGATTTACAACAAACGCATTATGGAGTGGATACATCTGGGAAATCTAATCTTCATGAATTGGAAATAATCCTTAAAAAGAAATTTATGATAAGACGGCGGAAAGATGATGTATTGGGAACTTTGCCTCAAAAAACTCAAGAAGTTGTCAAGCTCGATGTAAACTTAAATTCTTTAGATGCTACTGAAAAAGCGCTAATTGAAAATTTGTCCCGCTCATTTGTAAATACAGCTAAAGCACGAGATAAACATGCTATTTTATTAACGTTTTTTGCTGAAACTGGAAAAATTAAAATACCATCAGTGTGGTAAGAAATTAATAAAAATTGGCATAAAATAAAAATAATTTTTTTCAGTTCCTACATACAAAAAATCCTAGAATCGAAAAAAAAATTCCTTGTTTTTGCTCATCACCTTGTCATGTTGGATGCTATAGAAGAAGTACTGAAACTCAACGATTGTAAATACATTAGAATAGACGGACGTACTTCAGGGGGTCAAAGGAAATATTTTGTCGATACATTTCAGATTGACGAAAATTGTAAGTGCGCGCTATTGTCTATAACGGCCGCTAATGCAGGTATCACATTGACTGCTGGACAATTGGTGGTTTTCGCTGAATTACACTGGAATCCTAGCGTAAGTAAATTTAATTTTTGAGTTTATGAACAGGCAGTAAAATTTACTGGGAAGTTTTAAAATAGTAATTTGTTTGACAAGGCATTAAATAAGATTTTCTGTCGTGTGAAACATAATTCTTTCTCCGAATTTGTTCCAATTTCAAGCGTAATCCACGTATATGTATTTATTAATTGCAATGATGACGTTTGTCGAATTGTGTGTGCGAGTGTGTGGAGGAAGAGTTTTTTTAGTAACCTGATCATTGTCCATTTAAAATTACCAGTTTAATTTAAATTATTACCTGGAACATTGGATAGGAACGAATTTTAAGAAGGCAGTAAAAATACGCAGCAATACGCCATAGACGGCGCCACGAGCAAAAATCCCCCAAATCCCCCATAATAATAATAATAATAATAATAATGTTACTTATACGGGTTCGCAGATAAGTGAGACTACTTTTTCGAACTTTAACGAATTTTATTAAACAAAAAACATGAAAATAACTCGAAATTTAACAATATTTTACACTCCGGACTACTCCAAATAAAGCTTATGCGGCACGAATATTTTCGAACGTGGTTATTTAGTTCCTGACTTTATAGTTCACTGCACTTGTCGTACGTCAATCAGAACTGATCCTTACGCGGTGTGCACCGGGGCTTTTATAGTTATGTGCGTCCTTCTCTAACACGCTCGAATTTTCGTGATTCAGTTCATCTTGAAAATAGTCGAATTATTAAATATTATCTTGTTTACATAATAGTCCAGGAGGTGGCGCCAAAAACATGCAAGAGTTTTCGCAAGGCGGATATTTTCAAAATAGGTCGTACTTTAGTGCTAGAATGCTAGTGTACAGTCAGCACTCACAGTTCCGGGACAGCTGGCTCTGACATTTTCTTTAAATATATTTGTCAAATACCTGCAAAAATATATTTTGACAGGACACCGAAGAAAATTCCATAAAATAAAAACTTTGAGGACGTCTGACCCCCTTTTTGCAACGAACTAGACGTCTGACGATTTACATACGTTATCTGTAACCTTCAAACAGATAATGTGCAAAATTTCTATAAATTTTGAGCTTTGAGAAAACAGTTTAGATGCTTCTTAAAATTACAACTTTGCTCGCGTCCCAGAGCCAGCAGTCCCGGCACTGTGAGTGCTGACTGTACACTAGCATTCTAACACTAAAGTACGACCTATTTTGAAAATATCCGCCTTGCGAGAACTCTTGCATGTTTTTGACGCCAGCTCCCCAACTATAAATAATTTGGTCAAATAATATTAAAAATAGAGTAAATAAACTTCAAAAGATCAGAAATACTTAAATAGTGTGAGTAAATATGTTACAAAATGATACAATAAAGGTGGTGTTTGTTTGTCATTAGTCCGGGTGTTCATCTGTTGTTTCTCTACACCTATAACATTAAAAAATCTGACTCGTTTATTTCAAGTTATAGCGTGTTGTGCTTTTTTTTTTTATTTGGTTAAGTATTATTGAAAGAGCAGTGAACGAAAAAAAAAGTTATATTTAGGTAAGCCGCGGGTAAGCGACTACCTAATTGAGTGAAAAGCTCATAGTTTCTCCCATATACAGGAATTATTGTGAAAGCAAAAAATATAGTATAAAATAAATCTATACATAGGTATATAAAAATAAATTCTACTTATATTTTTGTTTTTAATAACGAATTTAATCTATTTTATGCCAATACCAACAATTCAAGATTTAAAGCATTAAAAATACACATAGTTTGCTAAAAATTAGAATAAGCATAGGTATTAATGAAAATAATGAAGAAAAGCTAGGTGGACTTTAGTTTCAATTGATAAGCACGTACTTTATTTGGGGCTCTGTTTCCAGCATCTGATACACGATGTAGTAACTCGGTTGCTGGATAATGGAATCTGGTTGGTGTCGAGGGTAACCAAAATACCAATAATAATTGTTGTTGTGTGCACAAGTGCCCAGTGTTCTGGATCCTGACTTGAAAGCAGGTATAATAATGACCTCTTAGCCTCTTACATTATCAAAATCGTATTCAATGAAAATCTAGTGCCTAACTGCATTTCTGAAGCTCGAAAACACTCTACCTGATCAGATTGGGGTAATTCAGTAACAGGTCTATTTGCTCAACTGCGCATAGTGTCCTGGATATAAGACGGCGCAAGATTTATTTCATAGACACCTACAGTTAAGTCCCTCAGATATTTTAGATCCAAAACTCTAAGACATGATTTTCGTGTAAGCGCCTCCATTGCGCATTTCTAACCCGCAGGTTTTCTTGTTCGATTCTAACTTGCAAATTATTTTCGGTAAGCGAACTTTGCCGTATTTGTTGGGCCAGCTCAAATGTTGCTCCTTCCATTAGTACTGGCTCCTACCTAATGATACATTTATTCTGGACCGAGGTTACCGAGGTGCCATGCCCTTGTTGGAAAGGCTGGGAATTGAATGTAGGATGCCAACTCAACTAAGAGCGCACGAACATCAATTATCGACAGGAGAAGCTAACCTATCAAGACTAATAACTAAAACTCGATGGATTATTGAAGCAAAAAACGAACATTTTAAATATGTGTTTCGTTCTTCCGATAAAACTATATCTGCGGCCCACTTAAAATATTTGGGCGATCTTTACAGAATTTGTGGGGCCATGTTTAATAAATACCGGGATCCAGTACTGATAGAAGGACTAACAGTTCAGATGGCCCAACAAATACGGCAAACATCGCTTAGCGAAAATAATTTGCAAGTTATAGAATCGAAGAAGGAAACCTGCGGGCTAGAAATGCGCAGTGGAGGCGCTTACACGAAAATTATACTCCAGACTTTCCACATTTGGATCTAGAATAGAGGAACTGAACTGTAGGTGTCTATCAGTCTATCAGATAAATATTGCGCCGTCTTACTCCCAGGACACTGTGCGCAGAGAAACAAATAATGAATTGCAAAGAGACCTGTTACTGAATTACCCCAATCTGATCAGATTAAAGGTGTTTCGCGCTTCAGAAACGCAGTTAGGCACAAGATTTTCATTGAATTTGACTTTAATAATGTAAGAGGTCATTACTGTACCTGCAAGTCAGGATCCAGAACGCTGGGCACGTGTGCACACATTGCAGCAGTTATTTGGTATTTGGGTTACGCGCGACACAAACCAAATATTCATTATTCATTATCCGGCAACCGAGTTACTACATCGTGTATATCAGATGCCAAAAACAGAGCCCCAAATACTATATCAGATGCCAAAAACAGAGCCCCAAATACTCTTCGTTTTATCAATTAAAACTAAAATCCATCTCGCTTTTTGTTCGTTATTCTCATTAATATGTTTGTTTCTAATTTTTAGCGGGCAATGTATATTTTTTAATGTTTTAAATCTTGAGCTGTTGGTATTGGCATCGAAAAAGTATACTGTGTACCTATATAGTTAGTATTTGTAATACCCATTTAGAATAACCCCATCCTTATTTATCAATCACGAATCAGATGAAACAAAAAATTACCAACAAAAACGAACGTCGATTACCAATACGTCAATTTCATCTACAAATAGAAAATTCCTAACCTAATTTTATTTGTCTGTCAAGAAGCGACATATGTTTTGTCACTAAAACGACAGGTACTTCTAAATAGGTATTAAAAATCCTATAGATCTTTTGTTATTAAAAACAGAAATATAGAATTTATTTTTGTATATTTATACATTTATTTTATAATATATTGCTTGCTTTCACAGTAATCCCTGTATATGGGAGGAACTGAGCTTTTTACTCAATTAGGTAGATACACTAGATACCTACTTACCTAAATAAAACCTTTTTTTTGCGTTCACTGCTCTTTCAATAATACTTGACCATATTAAAAAAAAAAACAACACAACACGCTATAACTTGAAATAAACGCGTCAGATTTTTCAATGGTATAAGTATAGAGAAACAACAGATGAACACCCAGACTAATGACAAACAAACAGCACCTTTATTGTATCATTTTCTAACATATTTACTCACACTATTTAGGCATTTCTGATCTTTTGAAGTTTATTTACTCTATTTTTTATAGTATATTAGACCAAATTATGCAAACAAGATAATATTCAATATACAATTTTGAACTTTGACATCTTTTATATCCAAAATGACGTCTTTGAGGACCTATAACTCGGAAACCCCTCGATAGATTTTTTTGCGTCCATGACAGCTTTTACTCAGGATAACGAGAAGTATATCATATCAAAATTTCAGACGATTTGACCGGGACCACTTTTCCTATCTTTTTGTGCGGGGTCCTTTTGTTATATTTTTCCTGTTCATCAATAGTTCTTTGTAGCCATCCATTACTTAAATTACTTAAAATGTATAAAATAAAATAAGTATAAAGTAGTTAATAGAAAAGATCAAGAAAAAAAAAAGAATAAAAACGAGTAAATAAAATAATAAATTAACTATAAATAAAAAATCTCTTCCAAATCAGTTCCCACAGGCAAAGTGTTAGGGATTGAGGCTGAATTTCCTCTTTAGATAGCGAGGCTAATTTTTTGTATCAAATAGCAAAGAGCTTTTTTGTTCTTTATCTTTAAGCTTATTTCCTTTATCAGTTTTTCAGCCTCGCAACCCCAAGGTCCAAAAGTCTCGACACTAAAAGGGACGAAAACAAAATTTTCTTCAAGCTATTCATATTTTTTCTTTTTTACTTGTTCTCCCATTTCTGCTGCTGATCCCGCTTTAGTCGAAGTCCTATCAATATAGGACTCCGCCATGGTGTCACGACAAGTTGCGTCCCATAGTAAGGGCCTTCTAGCTCTCCAGGAAACTAGGCTCATCCCGTCCACCCTCTTTCCGTCGGCTCGACATACTCCATTTGGCTCCAAAACCGATGGAATGTTTGCTGATCTCAGTGAGCGCATAATAATTTCATTTATCTGGCCATGTCGAGAAAGCCTACCCACGCTTTAATTGCAGCATAGCCCATAAAGACCATAAGTTTACGGAAAGACCGGTCGTCTAAAACTTTCCCAATGAAACGAAGGGTAATGCCTTTAGCCAGGCACTGCTCTCTGGTTCTTGTAAAGCCAAAAAGCGGGCTTTTTGTCTTTTATGGTTTGCATGTAATATAATTTTGTTAAGGAAAACCAGGCACATTCCTCTATCAAAATCCTTTTGATTTTTAAAATTTGAAAAATCTGTGATTTCTGTCAAATCTTGGAAATGTTGTTCTGCCTCTAACTGTGCTGAATCTTTTACAAAAAAAATGCTGCTAGGTAGCATACAAGAGACTAGAGCAGAAGTGTTTTTAATTGAACTCAAAAAAGCTGAAAAACATAATGTTTTCGATTCCCTGATTCCTAAACCACCCATACTCACTAGCAAAATAAATTGTTGCCATGAAATGTCATTAAAAGTGTAGTTGACAATATTTTCCAAACAAGATTTTAGACACACATCAAAATCTTCTAAACAATGTGGCACTCTCCAACATGGAGCACAACGCAATAAGTAGGTAATGCGTGGTATTGAAAATTAATGCTTTAGAAGAAAAAAGGCTACATGTGAATTTAGTAGCAAAAGATTTTTAGAAAAAGTATTGAAAATCCTAGTTTTCTTATTCAAACATTTCTCGATTCAAGAAGGATATTTAGATTTTCCAAATAAATTAGAGAAAATTGACTTGTTATAGATTTATGTTTTGATAACATTTTAGATTTGACAAGTTATATTATTTGATATGATTCAAAAATTCGCATTTTTCATAATTAACTTTAAGACCAACTTTTGAGCATTCCTTTTCAATAAAATCAAAATCTTCAAAAACAGTGTCCAGTGAAACTTAAAATGTAAAAATTGAACAGGTTATTGAATATTTAACAAATAAGAACAAAACAATAACAATGACGAAGAATGAAATAACTTCAAAACCGAACGAAAATAACCTCAATTTTCTTAACCCCCACCATTTCGGACTTAAGGGGCATGAAACACTGATATAAAGGTTGATGCACGAGGGGGCAGGCCGGGCAGGGGATACGTACGACACTCTAAGCACTGAAACGCGCGAAGTAATTATTGTGGAGCACTCCTGAGCTGCTCAGGAGTAACTCAAGTGGGTAACTGGAAAGCACCCATAGAAAAGTGATTTATATTTTTGATATAGAACGCTCACTTCTGTTGTAGTCGCCCAGTGACATTTCCGACGGTGCTGCCATAGCGGTGTAGTCATTGAACTAATATTTGGCGGGCCGTTTGAATCTCGGATTCAAATGACTCGTTTGTCATTTCAATTATTTCAAAATAAAAATGTCCATTTTTCCATTTGAATGACTGTCATATTTGATCAAGTAATTTATAATTCCCTCGAGCACGTATTATGGAGCATCATACAGTGGCACTAGGTTGTTTATCTCCAACAAAACCAAATTTTCTGTTTCTGTGTTATTTTTGATGTAGATTTCCCTGGTCTGTGGCTGCAATTCGCTTTTGACCGATTTATTTTTTGCCGCCTGGTCACACATTGTGGCAACAACTCTTAAACTGCTTGTGATGCACTTATCAATTCTTTCACAGTCTTGGAATTCAAAACAATCAATGACGATGCACTCAACAAATTAATTCAGATGACACATGCATTGATATGCATTATATTATGATGTCAAATGGACCTGCGTTTTTATGACTGGTTTTTATATCCACCATTCTATGTCGGCCATTGTCGTTTCCTATCCAGTAAACAAAGATAGCTAACTCATCGGTAAAGTCACAGATTAGAATAAAAACGAGGGGGACGTTGAGAAACGGCGATACGGGCGCGCAGCGGTGTAGTCATGAACTAAAAAAGTGGAGGGGATGAATCCAGTGAATGTTCTATTTAAGAATTTATAAATCACTTTTCTATGAAAGCACCTCTAGTCATGTTTTAAAAATTCAAAATGACGTCACCCTTCCTCTCCAGAGGCGGATTTCTGTAACGGATAGAGATCGTTATCGATATCGCTGACACTTGCTGTCGTCTTCTCTCTTTTCGAAATCAATAGAGAGGGACGGCAATAGAGATAGCGAAAATATGTCTATTCGTTACAGAATTCCAGCCCCAGAAGAGATACCTTGGAGATAAGATCAACATCGCATGCGCAAGTCAATTAGGGAATCCAAACCACGTGACTTTTGCCAACCAGCCGGCATTTTGAAATTTTTGTGACGTTAGAATACGGGTTGTTACATGTCAACGATGTCAGAAAAGTGTCAGATTTGAGTACTCGCCCCGTGTATTGATAAAGCCATAAAACTCATAATCGCGAAATTCGCTCTTTTTCTGACATTTGATTCACGCATAAAACGTCAAATTGTCGAAGCAATGTCAAAAAAGAGCAAACTTCGCTGTTATGGGTACTAGGCTTAATCCCGCCAAAAAAAAAACATATGTTTTTTGTTTATTGTTTGCCAACCAGACGCCATTTGGACAGGTTGTGCCTCTACCGCATGAATCAAGTTAATTATCGAACCAAGTGGTACATTTGAAGATCGCGGGGTATGTGTGTCAGTTTGTTCTCTGTCAACTTTTCATAATGTATTAGGCAATTCAATCCATCTGTCAAAATGGAAAATTCAATATGGCGTGGCGGCCAAGCAAGTTTGTTTTGATTATGTTTTTATGCTTATTTTAAATTATTTTGCTTAGATTTTGGTTTGCAACTTTGATTTTGATTTTTTAATAATATATTTGTTGACTAGGTACCTGAACTATTAAATCGGGCAAAAACTAGATATTTTTTTGTGTTTTTTGGCTCATGTGTGGCCGCCACGCCATCTTGATTGTCACGTGGTTTGAATTGCCTAATTGTATAATTTTAATAAATAAAAAGTTGCTCAAGAATAAAATAGAATATTACACACGACGGTAAAAAACCTTTACTTGTTCGTGAGATCAATCAACTCGCTCCTTCGTCGCTCATGAATCAACATTTTCCACTCACAGGTAAAGCATCCTTTGACGGTCTATAATAAATAACTATTACTCCACCTCCGTCTTTTTTTGCTGCTTCAAAGCTACATATGTTTATCTCAGAAAACTTAAGAAAAAGCATTTACTTCTTTTTTAAGCTGAGCCAATATTTGACGACAACCCTGTGCCTTGATTAACTCTATCTTTTTTTCAGATATTAAGCCAAGCTGAAGCTAGAGTTCATAGAATTGGCCAAGAAAATGCAGTTTTAGTACAATACTTACTAGCAGATGGCACAGCAGACGATCATATATGGCCTTTACTACAAGAAAAACAAAGGATTTTGCAAGAAATGGGTTTGACAAAAGAATCTTTTACGGGCGTTTATGAAAAGTACCAAGATGCTCGTCAAAAAGCGGATGGCAGTATTATGAATTATTTCAAAACCATCAGTGAAGATTCTGAAAATAAATTAGATGATGATAGTATATTGGATGATGGCCTAGATGATATTTTGTGTAACATTGAGATTTGAATTTGTATTTCCCGTTTTAGAATTTATTTTTCTTTACAAATATATGTATTTTTTTTCTAAAGAGTAGGTATCTGTTTCAATTGGACATAAATTACCCCTGACTAGACAATTTTTTTTTAACCAACTGTGTTGCCAGTGTATCCAAAATAGGAGCGGGATAGAATTAGGCTCTCCAAACCACGTGATTTTTCAATATGGCGACTGTGGAAAATTTGATGTTTGTTTATCTTGAGTTTATTTGGAATATTTTCAAGCTAATTACAGTTTACTTTGTTATAATATACTTTTTGAGATGCAGAGTGAATATTTAAAGACTTGAATGCATGAAAATCGGGATCTAGGCGAACGGTTAGTTTAAAAAAATGTCCAGATGACATTTTGATCCACACTTCACATTAATGAGCAAATGAAGGCCTACAAAAGCTTAGATTCTTAAGAATATTTCGAAGATGGCTTTATTTCAGATTTAGGAACAGTGGTAGTGAAAAATTTTCACGTTTTAATTGGAAAATTTTAAGACAAAGGGCAATGAAAAAAGCCTGACATCATCCTTGTTACCTTGTTGAAACTACTTCCACAATCAACTTCAAGACCCGTTTGTGGCATTTTTAATTGGAAGAAACACTAATAAGGTCAATAAAATAGAAAAATAAACAGAGTTCATTCACAAAACAACCACAAAATGCACTTTAATAGCTATTTATATAACAAGTACATAAAGTAAGGCTTTATTGTACGAATAATCTTATGGCCGAGCGAGCTTGCGAGCGAGGCTATTAAATAATGAGTCAATAAAGCCTGTTTATGTAAGCGTTACATGATTTTATGTACGCTTGCGACTGATTTTTATGGGGCGCCATATGTTCCATAATTATTTCGTCTTATATGTAAAATATTTTGCAGGAAAAACAATATATAGATAAAAATGACCACTATTTTGCATATATTTAAAAAAAAAAATAATATTTATATCGAATTCAGCAGCATGCAAAGTTCGATATATATAAAATAACTTTGAAAAAATAAATATATTGAATTTGGCCCCATGCAAAATTCAATTTTTATAAAACTTGAAAAAATATTATATATATCGAATTTGGCACCGTGCAAAGTTCGATATATATAAAACTTTGAAAAAATATATATATTGAATTTGACCCATGCAAAATTCAATATTTATAAAATATGAAAAAATATTATATATATTGAATTTGGCATTGTTCAAAGTTCGATATAAAACTTTTTAGTTTGAAAAGTCCCCGAGAGATGGCGCTACCTTTGATCATAATTTTTTTTTGTGGATGGTGTGTTGGATCAGTGTTGCCAACCAGAAAATAGAAAATATCGCTACGTCACTTCAAAAATTCCGCTACTCCCCGCTACGGCGAAGCTTATTCTAATTCCGCTACACGCCGCTACTTTTTTTGCTCAAGGCCGCGTGAATGGACATCATTTTTGTGCTCTGATATGATCTACGATTAAGCATTTTTATTTTTTTCGATATTTTGCCTGGTTATTATTAATTTATAGAAAATATGCTTTCAGGTCTTCGACCTTGATAAACATGCGATCACCAAAACAATGTGCCTACATAATTTTGAATTAAAAAAACAGGAATAATCAAAAAACTAAAAATTTATTCTGGTAATACAAAACAAAAATAAGCTCTCTCTCTAACTTAAAGATTCAAAATAAATAAAAAATAATATATGTATTATAATTATTCATATAGGTAACAAAAAAAAAAATCATTTTAATCTGGATCAGATATATAATTTATCTGGGTTGAATTAAAAAAACGGGAATAATCAAAAAACTAAAAATGTATTCTGGTAATACAAAACAAAAATAAGCATAATCTCTAACTTAAAGATTCAAAATAAATAAAAAATAATATATATATTATAATAAATCATATAGGTAACAAAAAAAAAAATCATTTTAATCTGAATCAGATATATAATTTATCTGGGTGTAATTATTATTACACCCAGATGTGCCAGCTGTGCCACTGTTTAGTACATCTGTACCCTTTTCATGGTTATCACTCGACATGTTTGTCCCATCAGTTTTAAATGTGTACATATACTTATTAAACTTTTGTATATGTGCTTCGTTAATCAAATAGGTTGTACAGCATTTGCCTTTAGTCGCTAGATCAATTTTTATTCTTAGTACATCACTTAAGGTATCTGATGCTAGACGGTTTCTTTTTTTTGATTTAACATCCGTCATTATAGAAAATACCCTTTCCACATCCGCGTTACCATGTGTTAAACTAAGTATAATTAAAGCAATTGTACTAATGTTTTTAAATGGATGTGTTACTTCCTGTAGAGGAAATTAAAGTTGGTACCGATACTATGAATCTACTTAAAGATTGTAACCCAACCGATAATGAACAGTTTAAACTAAAGTGTTTAAAATTCTATCAAAATACAGTTGCTCAAGCATTTAAAAGGTTGCCTACTAAGGATAACTTTTATAAAAACATTTCATTTGTACAACCACAAAATGCTCTAAATGTTAGTCTAAATTATGACCTTCAAGAAATTTGTAAAAAATTTGATAATAAAATAGATCCAGTAAAAGTGATATCTGAATACAATAGTCTTAAGGTATATTTTTCTGAAGATGAAAAAAAAGCTTTATTGTGTGATGATATGATTCAGTTTTGGACAACATTAGTGGAAATTAAAAACTTTAATAACGAATATCCAAAATGCGGATCAAAGACATTTAATCGATCAAATTCAGCTTCACTTGAATAATGAGGGGGTTTGACGAAGTTAACACATACAATTTTTACAAATCTCCTACTTTCTACATAAATTTTATCAACTAAAACTTTTGAAGATTGGAACATGGCATTGAAGGAATTGAAACTCGGAAGTATATGTTTCAAAAATAGAAGGTAAGCCTTGACATAAGGATTTTGCATTTCAGTGAATATATTTCCTACTGGATTTTTGTCTTCAAACGCAGATAGTCGAAAAACCTCTAAGAGCACGTCCCACTGATCAATAAGCCTTTCAACACAGTTTGATAGTGCTAACCATCTGGTTTTACTAGGACTGAGAATTTTAACTTGAGCTGCCCGCATGTATTGTTGGAATTCTTCTAAAACCGACTGTCTCTTTGGACTTCTAGAAAAATAATTTGAAATATTTTGTAATAATGTCTCTATATTACTTGGCAGCTCTTGACTAGCAGCAGCAGCAATTAAATGGGCCGAGTGGCATATACACCCATTTACGACAATTTGAGGATTTTCAGCTAAGAGGTAGGTTTTAAATGATTCTTTATTGCCCATCATTACACTGGCGTTATCAGAGCAATAACCCACAATATTGCTCACCTTCAAATTAAAACTATCCAGACATTTTTTAAAAAGAGAATAGAGCCCTTTGGCTGTTCCTTCATCGGATTTTATGGGAATTAAGTCTAATAATTCGCATTTAACTTTTTTTTCGTATATATACCTAACTAAAATACACATTAACCTAGTATTGCTTATGTCTGTACTTTCATCTACAAGTATAGAAAAAATATTGTCTTTTAGCTCACGACCCAAAGCCTCTTTAATTGTAGGTGCAAGTACGTTTTTAACTATGTTTGTGCATTTTGTTCGTTTTAATTGCATTTTGTTTGCTATTTTCGAGTCACTAAAACTTAATTTACAAGTTTCGGTTAAATGATCAATAGAACTAAAACTAAAATTATGAGAAGCAACTAACAAGCTTAATCTAATGTCAGCTATAATTTGGTTCTTATCTTGTTTAGCAGGCTGGAATATTTCAGAAATTGGTCTAGTCCCTTGCAGTGTTTTTATATTTTTAAGGTGTCTCTGGCTTTTCCCGTGGTTTAACAAATCACTTCTTTTGGCGCCCAAAATCAGCTGACAGGCTTTACATTTAGCTTTACCTGGGTCTTTAGTGGTTTGCAGCCAACTCTTAAAAATATCTTCTTCAACCCACTTTTTGGAAAATAGTTGTTTTCGACTTTTCTTTTCATCTCTGGCAAGTTCACCCCTTACTGTCCTTTTCCTTTTGGGCGTAGAGGGTCCAGTATTTTCCGAATCAGATACCTCAGAATTAGACATTATGCGCTCCTACATATTTCCTACAATTAGTGTCATGTCATTAAATAATTTCTCATTGAGCAGATCGATGCAGCATAAATGTATACCCAATACAATAATAATATTGATATTTCGTACCTTTTTATGTTCAATAATTGCTTCCACAAAAGCAAAACAATTTCAAAGCAGTAACGAGAGCAACACGAGACGGATAGATTCAATAAATCAGATTCAGAGCTGTTGTTGTTAAAAATGAACGTCACACTTACTCAAATAAATAAACGGGGAAGTCCCGAAAAACTGCATCAGGAATATGAGGTTACGAAATTTTTGACAGCTGGGCTGCTGCGTTCGAAAACCTGGTTGCTGGTGTGTTGACAAGGGCAAGGAAGGCACGCACCCCTCGGCGTTTCGGTGTCGTACCTCGCACCACATACACTAGACCGAGATATCGAACGCGATCGGAATCGTCAAATGACTTTTTGTGCTCGATTCACGATTCCTTTGTTGTTTTCTTTTTATTTGCTAAAATGAGTATGAATCAGTATAAAAAAATAAAATCCGCTACGTTTTAAGCTCATTTGGCTCCACCGCCGCTACGCCGCTCTTGAGGGTAAATTCCGCTACGTGTGGCGGAATTCCGCTACGGTTGGCAACACTGTGTTGGATTTAAATAAGGTATTTTGGAGGGCCGTTGATTTGTAATTTGAATAGCTGCAATTAGGATGCATTGATAATTGCGTGATGATAATTATGTATTGTCATAAGCGCGGCAACGGCAACACTGGTGAATGATAACTGAGGTTGTGTTGTGTTCCTTTCCTTCCGTTTGAGTGCCCGCCGCGCTCGCGTACCGCCTAAAGTTTGTTTTTTATTTAAAGATAATTGACCTTTTCAATTTAAAAACCTCTCTCTCTGGCATCAAACTGTCAGACGCCAAAAAAGTATGAAAACAATGGTTGACAGCCGTTGGCAGTGGTTTGTA